TATGTGGCCCTCAGAGATTAACTTGGAGAAAAGCTTCAATCGCATAGCAGCTTTGTAAAATCTAAAAATTAGTTATGATTGCCTGATCTGGCAACTCGAGTACGGCTACAGCACAGGAGCTTAAATATCATTCCTCAATGCAACAACTTCGCAGAGACAAACAATACGTTGGGACAATTAAACATGATTAGACTGTCGGGCTAAGCTGCTTACGTCACCCCACATTTCACGGAAACACACTTGAGAGTTTAAGCAAAAGTGTTTGGTGTCGCCAGGGTTAAGTAACCCTTTACGATTTGCATTCTCTGTAGTAGTTCATTTAGAGCTTTCACAGGGAGGAGTAATGTGTCTCGTGGCTCGACAAAAGACGTTGCTTTATGGATATTTTCTCGGCATTCGCCGCTGTATGAAGTCGATAAATTATCGAGAAATAAAAGATAAACCCGTCTGAAATATCTTAGGTCATTTTAAAAATACTTCAGCAAAAAGAGAAGAACTCTAGACCCATTCTACGCTGCTTTCACTGCGTATGATGGTTTAGCGACTTGCACTAAAAATAGTTTTAAAAATTAAAAAGTATCGGCTCATTTTTCACCGTGAAACTGATCACTTTTTTCCGTTTTTTACACTTTACCTCTTTCAGATTTGAATCGCTTGTGAACCTGACAACTCTACTGCCGTGATAGCGAAGAGACTAATAAGTGCAAAAATGAGGTTTTGCGAAAACGGGCTCGGAAACGCCTGACCGGAAAATTTTATTGGAAGAAGCCTCCATTCTTTGTCAAATTGCTCCTCATCATCCGAAAGACTCCTAAAAATCGTTTGGATGATTAAATTTAACATCGGTCGATTTTATTTCAATTACATAAAAAGGGTACTTTTCATTTTCATGTTAAGCTATAGTGTTAGGCAAGACAGCCATAAGTGCTGTCTTCCGCGTGCTTCCGTAGTTGCGTTTTGGACACATAAATAAAACTCATTTTCAGGTTAGAAATTAGCAGAAGAGAGTGGCATCGGACTTGAAAGCACGAAGTATCATTGCCTCTTTGAAGAAATAGTGTCACTTACGGCTATTTTGCCTGAAACTACGTCATTTTTTGCGCACTTACGGCATTCTCATAAGTCTCGTTGTTATACAATTAAGATGAACTTCGCCGTTTCAGCTATTTCATCTGAAAGAAATTAGACGGGTTTTGAAGGAAACTCGATTTCGAAAATTTGACACTCACTGCTCTCTTCGCTATCACGGCAGTCTAGTTGGTCGTCTTTTTCCCCATTTGGCAACTTGAAGAGAAACATTTTGAGAAATTGAGCTCTCTTTGGACATTGGGTCATAAATTCGCCTTTGAAAAGTTCTTAATTACAAAGCTAGCGACTCCCCACCTCCTAGCCGAGCTCCTTTCGTTACATTTCCTTCGAACAAAGATCCGTGACAGCGGCCATCACGGGGTTGCCAAACGCCTCGCGCCCCTCAACTGCGATCGCAAAGAAAATCGAATTTTCGGCGAAATATGACAACGACGCGTCTTTAACGCGGCCAACGTTTCGAGATAGAGAAAAGCTATCGCTGGCTGACAGTTGACTGGGAAATCAATGGTCCTGGAAATGACTTTCTTTATTTAACTTGGGATGTCTTTTTCGTAACTTTCGAGCATTGTTATTTCTGCGGATGACTGCTCCGAGAGAGGAGAAAAAGAGCAACCGATTTATTTTTGCGTGGGTTCCGGCCCCGTCCGAAATAGGTTAAGGCTGAAGATCGACTGGGTATAGGCCAAGGTGGAGGTGTTCCCAGTTTCTTCGGTGTAATTTGTAATAACACGATATCATCGAGTGTGCGACGGAAAATAAGGAGACTTTGTTCTTGAGCCTCGTCAAAGTTAAAAGGAAAGTTTAAGCCGAAGTTAGTGCTCCAGTTGTATTTTAACAAAAACTCTGGGCTTCCCAGAATTAATTTTAATTTCCAGAAGTTCCGGGAAAAATTTCGAAAATAATACTGGATCGTCAAGAAAGAAGAAAAAATCATCAAATTTGATCAAATAATCTATAACAAACTGACGAGGAGCCCCGAAATTCCGGGACACTTCTAAAAAATGCTAAAATTCCGTAAAAATCAAAAGTTCCGGAAGATTTCGAAAGTTCCGAAAATCGGAACTAGTTTCAGAAAATGGGGGCAATGGCCCAAGTAATGGAAGGTATGACACATTAGAGGATCGTTCCCATATTAGTCATAAAACGGCAGTTGAAAATATTCAACCCGCTCGGCGATAAAAAGCTGAAAAGCGGGGAAAATTGAAAAAAGCTGAAATAAAAAAAGCCTAACGACCCTCTCTCCCCTCGCCAACCCCTCTCGACAAAGCGCCGGGCCGGCCGACAAAGGGATGTCCCCAAACGCTATCGCGCTCTCCAGTACCTGAGCCGTATTGATAAGTGAAAAAAAATTGGTAAGCCTCATCTCTCTATGGGCCACTCGGCCACGCGATGCAAAGTAGATATGAGGGTTGGACAGGAGGCGTGACCCTCTAGATGATAGTGTCGAAAGCTTCGAAAAATAATGCCATGGTTGCGATGATTTTGGGTTTTTTTTTCAGCAGTGCGCATCACAGTTTTATTGTTATTTTATTTAACTCGCTAGGATTTCCCAATGAATTCAATGATGAAATTCATTCTCCCAATTCAAAAATGATGCATGAAAAACATGTTTCACTGCTCAGGAATATCTGACTTTAATTCAATGGGTATGTTGCGTTGCACGCAATAATGGACCACTAGACAAGGTACGAATTTCAGCATTCTGATACATGTTTCTTCACCAAAATTGCACGTAGAGCACGATGCGCACAACGAAAATTACCGAAATCAACTCCTCCCGAAGATATTTAATGATTCTTGGTGCGTGAATTGAAACCACCCGCTTACGAAAACTCAATGCTCTACGTGTTTCACATCGCGCGTTAAACGTTATCATGAACGTCTCTTCGATAAAAAAAATCTGGCAACCTCAATCTTGACGCTTTGACTCAGCTTTAGCAAGCTGTTTATAGTTTGAACAACACATGGTATAGGAAATGTACATTGCTCGATTGAGAAGCTTGCTGAAACCGTTGTAGTGCAGGATTTGACTCATGTAGAGCTTTGAGTTTCTTGTGAGCGGGCAGTTCAAATTCCTCGTAACCAATGTGAAATAAAAAAGTTAATATCTTCGTTAGGAGTTAGTTTCAGTAATTTTCGTTGTGTGAATCGGGTTCTACGTTAAATTCTGGGTAAGAAACATGTATGAGATTGCTTAAATTCGTACCTTGTTTAGTGGTCCATTGGAGCGCGCACCGTGTTATATGCGCAATGCATGAAGGATCCTGCAGACTTGTAAGGCGCTATACGATGCGCTGCGCGCACCTTGCTGTACGCGAAATGCGTGAAGTATCCTGCGGTCTTGTAAGGCGCTAGTATGCGTTTTGCGCCGAGCCGGCGAGCCGCGGCCGAACTGCGTTTGATGCGATTATTAAAACTTGCGGCGTCAGCGATTTTCAGCTTATGATTTTGAAGTTTTAAAGTTTGTTGGCATTATTGCCATTTCAAATGATAAAATATTACATAAAACCGAGCGTTAAAGCCGTTTCTTGTGAGCGAGCAGTTCAAATTCCTCGTGACCAATGTGAAATAAAAACATTAATATCTTTGTTAGGAGTTGATTTCGATAATTTTCGTCGCGCGAACCGTGTTTACGTGAAATTCTAGTCAAGAAGCATGTATCAGAATGCTTGAATTCGTACCTTGTCTCGTGGTTCATTGCAAGAGATACAATCAAGTGAATGAAATATCTTAAGCCGATACACACGCAAATCAAGATGGGTACATAATAACAAACAAAACAAAAATTCATATTTTATAAATTTTTTACATTTTTACACACTTCCCTCGTCCACAGAAAACTTCTCTTCGTAGCCTGTAGCGACTAGGTTTGCCTGGAGAGAGAGACGGAAAAACTTACATGAACAATCTTGCAAACTTTTCCTCGCGTATGATTTCAATAGTTTTCAAGCATCCGTTTCTTCCACACTTTTAAAGCTTTTGTAAGGAAAAAAGATTTACATCAATTTGATTCATACAAAGGAAATGTTTTGTTGAATAAAGTTATGTTTTCTTGCGTCTCTCTCTAGGCAAACCTGATTGCCGACCACACTACGGGGATTGCGCGCTGGGGGACTTATTTAAGGTTCCCATCATTATTTTCGTGCCATTTGAGCCATAGTAGATCTATCTACTTGGATGTTGCTCTAACGCGCAACAGACCCATTGATTTGATTAAAGTCGCATTTACTTTAAATCCGGGAGTATTTCTTGAAAAAGAACCACCTGACTCATCTGAAGGCTTTCACTATAGACAGTTTTATCCCCGCTTTTTGGGCTTTCCCTAAAGGAAAATAGTTTGAACCTATTCTCATCAACTATGAACACAAACAATTCCCTGAAAATTCGAAAGATTCGATAATCATCCTCTTGGGAAAAAACGGCAAATTAAATTTGGCAAGAGCTAATGCCACTCATAGTCGTCGTTTTTTTCACGAAAGAACGTAACTTCATTTCGAATTTCGATGCTGCACAATTTCCTCTCGCAAATTGCATTTTTATCAGAAGAATCTTGGGCATTTCTAACTAAAACTATCACTGATTTTTCCTCCGATCTCACGCAAGAGTTATGAATATTTTGTACAAAAAAATTCCGCAGGTGCATTCTTGTAAAAAATTGAATTGTTCGCGTCAATTTTGCAACCTTGGAATGGAGTTACGTTCCTTTGTCCAGGAAACGACAGTTGTTAGTTCCCTCTCGAAGAACACTGCCCAATCTTGGTTTTTTATGTATTTTAATATTTCAATAATATATAATATATAATAAATAACTTGGAATATCTTAGTTTTGCCGATTTTTTTCCACCTCATTTTATTATTTGTCTTTTGCTTTTACGTGAATGAGCGACTAACAGGTGCTTTGCATGTTACAGATGACCGGACACGCCTTACAACCCTTGAATCCGACTTCGAACGGACTCGGTACGCACACTGCAGGGACTATGGTCAACCTTCCTAGAGGAAAATCTCAATATTTATCACAAGTAAGCAGTTCATTATTTTCATTCTTTAAGAAACATTTCTTTTCTTTAGCTCTCTTTCATTTTATAAAACTTCATAGAGTCGCTTAGGATGTTTTTATAATTCACGAAAATAAAAGCCACAGCGCGTCGTCCGCACTCTGATCAGTAGTCATGAGAGCAATACATTCGTAACGATGCCGATGAAAACTGAACACGTACGAAACGCCTTCAAACTTTCAGATATGCAATTTAACGTACGCAAGAGTTCGAATAGTTGCTTCCCAGAAAGAGACTCAAAGTTCCAGTCGGCAGCTGTTAGAACGCCTTAAATGCACGGGTGAACAAGATTGGCTTTAACATTATTTTTGGATGGTCCATCAGGGATTTTTTTTTCTTTTTTTAAAAAATAATGAAAAATAGAGAGCATTCAAAAACTAGTGGCAATTTACTAAGACAGCTGACACAACACCGCCACATTAACAACACCACATTAACATTATTAAACACCGCCAGCTAAACATAAGGAACATTGCATTATAAAATATACTGATACGTCAAAAGTTCAAAAGGAAAACTCATACCCTCTTGTAAAATATCACATTTTTGTGACTTCTTGTTTTTGTAAAACTTAAAATGCAGAAACACGGCATCCCTTTAAATCATACAGAGTCAGGAGTGAAAATGGGCCAGTTGCGCTGGTCACAGAATCGTGTTTTAATGCTTTATTTTTGTAGATCAGCTAAAAATAATTAGATCCGTCCAAACAGACCTCTTCTACGTTCAATATTAACAGAGATATCGAGCTTTGAAGAATTCGGTTTATGACGTCATCCACCGCGGAAGTGACACCCTTGGTTTCTTCCACCTCGTTGCCATCAATCAATGAGACACGCATTTGCACTGTTTCCTCAACGTGAAACTCGGTTGGCAAGGTGGAAGAAATCAGGGGTTTCACTTCCGCGGTGGATGACGTCATGATCCGAATTCCTCAAAACTTGATATCTCTGTTAATATTGAACGTAGAGAGTTGCTGTTTGGACCGATCTTATTTACAGCTAATCTTCAGGAATCAAGCATTAAAACACGATTTTGTGACCAGCGCAACTGACAATTTTCAGATCCGCGGAGGATGAGAGGCGATGCATTTTTTCTTTTTCGAGTCGATTTAGTGCTGAGCACTAACTGTTTAGATCAAATGGAGTCAGCTGTTATGGCAGTACTGCTGGGGCCTACAGTCTGTAGGGCTGGACTCTAAGGTTTTAGGGCTCAGCTCTACCGCTATACTAGCTGGTCCATTCGATCTAAACAGTTAGTGCTCAGCACCATATCGTTTCTTCCGTGTATGCTCTTTTTTATTCGGGTTTCTTAATTGATCGATTTTTGGTGTTTCAGGTGCTGGCGGCGGTGGCGATATCCCTGGGGCCCCTGGCGGCGGGTCTGGGGAAGGGATACAGCTCGCCGGCGATCGCTTCACTCCAAGGGAAGCAGAGCTGGGAGGCGGGGCACGGGGCCGGGGCGTACCGGGGCCACGGGATGGGGCACAGGGGCAACTACACCCTGTTGACGGTGTCGCCGCAGGAGGCCTCGTGGGTGGCGAGCCTGTCGCTCCTCGGGGCGCTCTTCGGGGCGCTCGTCGGGGGCCTGGCCATGAAGTTCGGGCGCAAGAACGTCCTCCTCATCGCTTCGCTCCCCTTCTCCGCCTCCTGGCTCGTCACCGTCTACGCCGAGAGCGTCCAGACCATGTTCGCCACCAGTTTCGTCGGCGGCTTCTGCTGCGCCGTCGTCCTCATGGTCTCACAGGTCAGTCATCCACACACATCTCAAATGTAGAGTACCAATATATTGAGAGAGTATGGCCACTGGGGTTACCACCTCTGATTGGCTCAGCCATCTTAGGCTAAATGGAGCCCTTAGGACCCAAAAATGGCGGACGCCATAAATTAATGTAATGCAAAATGACTCAAAATGTAGTTTTCTTTGCTTATCATAACGAGAAATTTACTCAAATGCACTATTGCGACATCTTTACATATTTTTAAGGCTAATCGTGTGCAATGTTTGAGAAAAATTATCTTAGATGTAGTAAGGTTGGCAGCAAGTGCGGTTGGTGATAACCGTCAAAAGTTGGCAATGACCCCCCTCCCATCCACAAAAACCGAAACAAAGCACCGCCATTTTTGGGTCCTAAGCCTCTCCATGGGGCCCAGTAGTGGCCATACTCTCTCAATATAGGTACTCTACTCAAATGGACCCCGTATACCAGAAAGGAACCAAGCCACAGCAGCCATTGTCAAATTTAATTGGTCAATTTAATTTTTTACATAAAAATGGTTGTGCGGAATTTTGTGAAAATTTAAGAAAATGTTCTGCTCAGTGCGAAGCAAATCTCTTAAAATTTCCAAAGGAATCCACACAACCGTTCTCTGGTAAAAAATTAAATTGTCCAGTTTTTGGCAATAGCTGATTTGGCTTAGTTCTTTTCTAATAGCCGCGGTCCGAATGAAACCTCAACGATTTTTCAACACTAAAGTAAGAGGTTAAGCGCTATATAGACATACCACCCGTTCCGGACTCAGAGACCGAAAGTTCCGGGTACTGGAGCCGTAGCTTTAATTGCTCCGGATGCCACGCCCTGAACATTCAGCCTCTGAGCCTGGAACACGGACGGTACGTCTACTCGTATATATCCCGTTAGTACGGCTTCCACGGCCAGAGTTTTATTTTTCAGTGAAGGGCTGCGTCTGTAACCCACGACAAGTAGACGAGAATTCGCACGGAGAAAAAAACCTCGTGCGTGAGACCCGAAGTTTAGGTCATATGGATCTCTGAAGTTTTCGGATTGAGCATCTGAACACTTTAGGTCTAGCTGTCGAAGGTCGAATCACACATCTGAAGTACTTCAGATGTGAGAACCGAAGTTTTTCGGATGTGAAAATCGAAGTACTTCAGATGTAAGAGCTGAAGTTTTAGATGTGTGATCCGAACCTCGAAAGCTAGACCTAAAGTGTTCAGATGCTCAGTTCGAAAACTTCAGAGATCCATATGACCTAAACTTCGGGTCCCACGCACGAAGTTTTTTCTCCGTGCGGAATTTGACTCATGGTATTTTTTTCCAGGGCTTAGAACTTATTGTTTCTATGCGTTTCATGGCATACTGAGTCCATTATAGAATTTTTAAATCATTGTGAAAAACATGAAGTTTCATAAAATTTAGCACCTATGGCCGCCCACTCGCTCCATCAACCCGAGTAGAACGTCTTTTCGCCACTAGCCCTAGTCTCGGTGACTGAGAAAAACTGCCCGCGAACACAGGAAACTTGAAAAATCGTGTAACAAACTACGCAGATTGCGTACTGGAATGGATTTTAGACTTTTTTGACGTGCCCAGCGTGATTTTCGTACAATTTTACCTGCAAAGAGTGCATTCGACTGCATCTCGTGCGTGCAACCTGCAACAGATCCATTTTGAAATTTTGTGGACTAAAATCCATTTTCCCGTAGACGATCATATTTCACAATACAAACTCTCTTTAGAATGTCTCCACCAACATAAACACTTTTCCTTGGAGACAGTCAGAAATCTTTAAAAAATACGGCAAGAAACCAAATTCTAAAACTCGCGCGTCTGACCCACTTAAAGGATCTTTAACCTCACTTTCCTCTCCGGCCGGAGCAATGGGGTAGCAGGTTTCCGCTTCGCGAAAGTTCTCAAGTTGAGACTGAGGAATATGCAGAGCGAGAAGAGAAGAAAGATGGCGCAGGAATGGCAAGTCGAATGAGAACCAAGGAGAGAAAAGTTAGGAGAGCAGGAGTTGTGAGTCTGACTACGCGAGGAAAGACAAGTTGACAGATAGCTGCATTAGAGAGACAAGACTTGAATCACTGCAACTTGCCAAATTTATGCAGCGATCTGTATGGGTCTGATGTAAATTCTAGAGATACAGCCTACTGAATAGACTTTTTGAGAGGCTTGGAGGACAAGGTGCATAAGTGCAGCTTTTGCTATTTCGAAAAATACGTGTTTGAAGTTCCAAAATTAAATGGATCCTTATGGTGGAAAGAAAGTTCGGACGGGCATTTTCATGCTTAAAAGTTGGAATTTGAGAGTGAATTTTTCACAGAATGAGCATTGAGACTAGTTTTACTTGAAATCATTAATATGTCTAATTTTTCAAAAACCGCATTTATGCGTCTTGTTCTCCAAGCCCCTCATTCAAGAAAATTCCTCCTTTTGGGGGGAACTCAAGGATTTTTGTCAAAAAAAACGTCAACTTATCCTTATGATGAGACAATGGGTCAAACACCATGGCTCTATACACTCCTTTACTAAAAGTTTCAGCTTGAGTTCAAAGCTCGTTTTGGCAATACAGCGATGCGAAGTCTACATTTTTATCAAAACAAATGCTTTATTTTGAAGTTCCTCGTTTGAAAAAAAAAGCAAACAAGTTTGAATCCCGTTTTGAGGCACGCAGTATCATCAGATGATGTTATTGTGTCTCAGAAAATAAGAGAAAATGAAAAGATCAACTGAACTTTTTTTCAAACGAGGAACTTTAAAATAATATCATTTTTCAATGGTTAAACATGTTAACTTTGCAACGCTGTGTTGCCAAAATGAGTTTTGACTTCAAGCTGAAACTTTCAGTGGAGGATTTTCTCATCATAAGGCCATACTTGAACTAGATCTCTGGGTCCCCCAAAATATAGGACTCTTTTTTTTTGACAGGCTCTTTACCGCGTCTGCGGGCTTTTTTTTCTTACAATCGAATAGTTATTTGCAGAATCAGCCTCACTATATCAGATGTTGCCTATAATGTACTTTTATACTTTATTTTTCAATAGAAAAGTAATCGGTGTTCTAACTTAAAATGTGTCATTGACACATTCAATGTCGTTTCATTCATTTACTGTCAATTTACATTCTTCACGCTCCATAAGAAATGCATAAATATTTCAAGACGTTTTGTTGCATGGTGCTCTGTTATAAAAATAAAACTTGAAAGGGAATCAGGAAAGAAAATTCCCGCATCCTATCTATTTCGTGATGAAAATATGATTTTCTTAGCTTCCAGGTCACTGCCATGGAATTATTATTCCATTCATAGGAGCAGCGATTAGGATACGGTAAAAAATCCAACCTCCCTTTAAAAATGAGCGTCCTGTTAGGAGAAAACACATTTTCCATGTAACTAGGTTCTTTTAACATCGAAAATTTCCCTGGTAAAAACTGACTATAGGAGCTGCGTTTCAAAATACCATAGGAGTTCTTACAGCCGAATGAAGAAGGTGATAGGAAATCATATAGCTGGCTGTACAAAGTGGAAAAAATCATACGGCCGGGCTGCACGAAGCGATAAAAAATTATACAGCCGGGCTATAGTTCCTATCGCCGGGATTTACACTTTATCGCCTGACTGTTGCTTTTTCGCCATCGGCTATAAAAGGCTGTAAAAAATTGTGTAGAAATTCGTTTGCTTTGTAAATCCTTAAGTTTGTACGGAATCACCTTAATATTTACAAAACGCGCATTATATTTTCCTTTACTACATATTTTTTTTTCATCAATTAAAATGAGAATAATCCATACAGAATGTGCGAACATTTCAAAGTCATGAGTTGAAAAACGCTGACTCCACGAGATTAAATATTAGAGCCTAACACAAAGCGGAGCGGCGGCGCACTGGCGCCTACAAACCTAACAGGGATACTTCACGCATTGCGCAATGCGTGAAGTATCCCTGTTAAGTTTGTAGGCGCCAATGCGCGTTTCGCGCTGACTGCCCGCCCGCCGCGCCGCGTACCACGGCGCTTGAAGCAACTATCTCACACCAGAGGTATTGCATAGTATCATACGAAATTGAAGGCGCACTACATTTTAGGAATGGCAGGCATCCTTCAAAAGTACGGAGCTTTCCTCGCAAAATCAATCAAGATACTACGGCACAAAAAGAGAGCGGTAGTCCGAAAACTCACCAAGTCCTAGCATCCGTAATTAGTAACGTTTAGCATACTTTTTATCGCCAGGCTGTTGCTTAATCGCCATCGGCTATAAAAGGCTATAAGAAATTGTGTTGCCGGCTATAGAAGCTATTGGAAATCTTACAGCCGGCTGTAGGTCTATGGTATTTTGGAACACAGATTCTACTGCCAATTTTTACCAGGGTTCGTAAAAACTACACTGAAAAAATGAACTCCGGCCGTCAAAGCCGTGCTTACGGGCTATAAAGACATACCGTCCGAGTTCCGGGCTCAGAGTTCGAACCTTCCGGGTGTAGAACCCGGAGCAATTGAACCTACGGCTCCGCAGCACCCGGAAGTTTCCGTCTCTGAGCCCGGAACGGCCGGTACGTTATATAGCCCGTAGCTTTATTTTCAGTGCATGATGAGGGAGAAAAGATCGAGGGGGGGAGGGCACATGAGAAGATGACACAACTGGCAACGCTCGTCAACGTTAGAGAAGACGGCAGGGCGGAGGGTTTAATATCACTCTGTGTCAATAGAGACAGGGGATTCCCTTTATGAGAATGGGAAAGGCTAGAGATTTAAGGCGGCTCCAGCTCGGGGAGTTAGGCCAAGAGTAACAAACATGGACGCCGATCGCGGGAGGAAAACCCTTTCGCCGAACACTACTCCATTCGGGGATATCGACAGCATCCCTCCGGTATGACAACCTCGTGTGTATGAACGACAAGGGCGCAGCACTGCACGGGGGTCGCATACTCAGGGATGCCGGCTTGGAACCAGAGATAATATATGGATTGCATTTTGCAAAAAGGAACCACTAGCATTGCAATGATGCTAAGATTGTGCAACTTCATCTTTTGCAATGAAATTGCGGAAATCGTGAAAAACTACGAAATTTAGATGGTAATTTTTGTCTTAAATTCACAGTTTTTAGCGAGTAAAATAGAAACTATTAATGGGTAATCGGGTTTTTCCTCCAAGACAAAAGAAGATGCACAATCTTAGCAACATTGCAATGCTAGTGGTTCCTTTTTGCAAAATGCAATCCATATTTTAAAGACCCCGTTTTAATAACAATTGGATTGCATTTTGCGAAAAGGAACCAAGAGCATTCCAACGTAGCTAAGATTGTGCAACATACATTCTTTGAAATAAAACTTCTGAGATCATGCAAAAAATTCAATTTACAGTGGTAAATTTCGTCTTGAATTTATTGATTACTGGGAGTAAAGATGAAACTTGTTTAGATGATCATTTGATATTTGCAAGGTAAAAAAAATTGCACAATCTTAGCGACATTGGAATGATCTTGGTTCCTTTTTGCAAAATGCGATCAAATTAAGGGGCTTAGAGGACAAGGCGCACAAGTGTAGTTATTGAAAAAAATTGAGATGTTAATGATCTCAAGTAAAACTAGTCTTAATGCATAGTATGCGAAAAATTCGCTCCCAAATTCCAATTTTTAAGGATCAAAAAGTCACTTTGAACTTTATTTCCACCATAAGGATCTATGTAATTTTGAAGCTTCAAATGCGTATATTTTTCAGAATAGCAAAAACTGTATTTATGCGCCTTATCCTCCAAGCTCCTCAATTGGACTTCATTTTGTAATTCGGGACTACAATTTCTGGCTCAGATTAGAAAGAACGTATATACCATTAGTTTTTCCGTGTACATAAAAGTTTTTACAGATGAGGCAAAATTGCAGTTCCTGATGGGATTGCATTTTGCAAGAAGGAACCAAGAGCTTTCCAACGCCGCTAAGATCGTGCAACTTTGAGCACAACTTTGAGCAAAGGCTGAGGTTTCTCCCGTGTTGTGTCAAAAGGAATAAAAGGGAAGGGGGGATTAGATCTTGGTGAAATATGGCAAACCTGCTCTCCTACTTACGACAAGCGCAAGACCCACTAAAGCTTTCATAAGAGAATTCTGAGCCCCTGTCTTCATGCGTGAGCTGAGGAAGTAAACTTTTTGTACTTACAACATATTTGAGCAGGAACATTAAAAGCAGGCGCAGTAAAAGTTACTGAATTTTGTCCTGATTGATACTTATAGCCCGAGCGTAAGAGCAATTAAAATATCATGCATGGTTAGTTTTTGTAATTTGTTGTATATTATTTTCTAAATGCCATACACGTCGGCACAAGATGTTAGAAATGGGCTGGGTTCGCACCATTTGAGGAGAAACTAACAATAAGTCAACGCAATTTCAAAACCTAAATTGGAGTAATCATACTGAACTCCAACCCACATCAGAGCGAGGCTGAAAGGTAGGTAGCTCAGTGAGGTACAGTGGGAATTATTCGCTGGGGCTCCATCAATAAAGCACACTTTGGTTTCCCACAGCGGCACATGAAAGCGCCTTCATTTCTTTCTATAGGCAACACAGGCAAAAATCATAGGATCAGAGATAGTTTTATCCACTCGTTAGAATCTAGGCTACACCATTCCACGCGTTAAAATTATTAGTTGTGCTTATTGTACGTCGCAGTTTTTTACCCATCAAGAGATCGATGGATCTCATCATTTAGAATCCTTGTTCTTTGTGTTTACATCTAAAAGAGATTCGATAAAGGAAGGAAACTCGATTTCGAAAATTTGACACTTACTGCCCAATTCGCTATCACGGCAGCTCAGGTTGTATACAAAAAACGGGTCCGCACCACAGACTGCGCCTATAGGGCGAAAAATCCTCAATCTGAGAGCTGATCGTTGAAATTGGTAGACAAAGCGACAGACAGAGAAGACAAAAATGACATAGGTCATGCCTCTTACCGAAATGTTTCCAGAATGTCCTGCGACGAATATATGGGGCTGATACCTCACTGAAATGTGCTGGGATGGTATGGGAAACAACTATCGGACGTTTCTGTGAAAGAAAATTTAGGGGTGACATAGAATTGTTTTAGAGACATTTTCAAAACCGCTTGGACACATGATATGTTTTCAAGATGTTTCATTGAAATGTTTCAAAGATATGTTTTCAGATCAATGACACATTTTAAAAACATTTTCAATCCGACTTGTGCTAGCAGGGTAGGTGGATCCTTTCGGTGGAAGCGGGTGGTTGCAATGGATGAAGGAGGTAAGTAATAGACTAACTAACGACGACCCACGAGAGATCCTTTCGTTAGTCCATCATTTTCTCCCTTGGTCTATAAGAACCATCCGTTTCAACCAATAGGATCGCTCCGTACTCTTCATGTCTACTTCGTCTATCGCTTCCTCTATCAATTTCAACAATCAACCCGCTGACCATGGGCATGAGACTAAACTCTTGGGTTGTTGCAGGTGTACATATCGGAGATCTCGGACCCGGACATACAGGGGTTCACCGGGGACACCGTTATTAGTGGAAGCGGGTGGTTGTAATGGACAAAGGAGGTAGGCAATAGACTAACGGTAACCGAGAGATTCTCTGGTTAGTCCATCATTTTCTCCCTTGGTCTATAAGAACCATCCGTTTCAACCAATAGGATCGCTCCGTACTCTTCATGTCTACTTCGTCTATCGCTTCCTCTATCAATTTCAACAATCAACCCGCTGACCATGGGCATGAGACTAAACTCTTGGGTTGTTGCAGGTGTACATATCGGAAATCTCGGACCCGGACATCCGGGGGTTCCTGTCGGCGGTGCTGAAGATCTTCAGCCACATCGGGACGCTGCTGTCGCTGACGCTGGGGGCGTACCTGGACTGGCGGGAGCTGGCCATGATCATCTCGGGGGCGCCGCTCCTGCTCTTCGTGAGCATGCTCTACATGCCGGAGACGCCGAGCTTCCTGGTTCTCTCCGGTCGGGAGCCGGACGCCGTGCGGGCCCTCCGCTTCCTCCGCGGCAACGACACGGACATCACCCGCGAGCTCATCACCATCCGCAACAACATCCTCACCGCCTCCACCCACCAGTACACTTACCGCGGCCTCGCCCACGCCGCCGCCCGCCTCGCTCACCCCATCCTCATTACCTGCGGCCTTATGTTCTTCCAGCGCTTCTCCGGAGCCAACGCCTTCCAGGTAACATCCCCTCCATCTCTTATCTCACGCACTTCAAGGGGTTCTTGATGATTAACTATTATTCCATTAGGAGGCTATGCCCCCTGGCCGCTACGCGGCCCAACCCTCAGGAATTGCCGGTCGCTTTGCGCCCTCCGAGGTCCGCTTTCCGGGCTCCATGAGTTCATTTGCATTAAGCGGCCTTATCTAGGGACTATCTCTTATTGACAGCCGCAAAAATAATGAAAATCGGCTGGGTGGATCTTTAAAAAGAACTGTGATCAAAAATGAACATTCACACTGTTCATATGGGGCATTTTCACAAATCTACATAATTTACGAAACAACACACATGAAAATGGGAAACCGAGGCTAAAAAAACAGAATTCCTGAATTTTTTCAAGGTGGTTTCAACCCCTTTCTTGACCAGGAAACAGGAAATATAACATAATATTTAGGGAAACCCTCGAATTTCCATTCGTGATAACAAAAACTATACTTTTTTCTTCTAGTCTTTTCGTTTCCTGGTCGAGGAGGGGGTTTAATCCACCCCGAAAAACGTCTCAGGGCATCCTGTTTGCTTCTAGCCTTGGTTTCCCATCTTCTTTCGTTTCGTTTCGTATCCAGTATTTCATGGGCGTTTTGATATGTTGTTCTGACCAGATGATTAAAAATCTGTCTTCCAAAATTCTACTCGGTTAAGATATTTAACCAAACGGCTTTAAACTTCGGTTTCCCATTTTCTTGTCTGTTGTTTCATATCCAATGTTTCATGAGCGTTTCGTTACGTCATTCTGACCAGATGATGATTAAACGTATGTTCCAGTTTTACTCGGTGACGATCTTCAGCCAAACAATTGTTAGCCTTAGTTTCTCATTTTCTCGTTTTTTGTTTCATATCCAACATTTCATGCACTGGAGAAAAAAAACACATTGGATCTAGAGTCCAGACTCTTAAAAACATCGATAAGAAAAAGTACTCTTGATTCAATCCTATTCTAGCTTAAATCAAGAGCCAAGCCTCTTAATTCAATCCGATTTCCTTAAGATCTAAGCAAAAATCTGATTGAATCAAGAGTATTTTTTCTTGTCAGTGTTTTCAAGAGTCTGGACTCTAAGAGATCCAATTTGTTTTTTTTTCCAGTGTTGTTTTCTGTTTCATATCCAATATTTTATGTGCATTTTGTTATGTTATTCTGACCAGATGATTAAACCTACGTTCCAGTTCTACTCGGTGAAGATCTTCAGCCAAACGGTTTTCAGCCTTGATTTCCTATTTCCTTGTGTTTTAATTCATATCCAAAATGTCATGGGTGTTTTGCTATGTTATTCTGACCAGATGCTCAAACTTATGTTCCAGTTCTACTCGGTGACGATCTTCAGCCAGACGTTCAACGGGATGAACCCGCACGGGGGTGCGATCGTGGTGGGCTTCGTCCAGCTCCTGGCCTCCCTCCTCTCGGGGCTGCTCATCGACACGATCGGCCGGCTCCCGCTCCTCATCGCCAGCAGCGTCTTCATGTCCATCGCCCTGGCCGGCTTCGGCTCCTTCGTCTACTACGAGCAGCTCAGCCGGCACAACAGCTACGTCCACGTCCAGCACCTCCCCCCGGGCGTGGCGCCCCCCGGGATCTCGGCCACCTACGACTGGATCCCCCTCCTCTGCGTCCTCGTCTTCACCGTCTCCTTCTCCATGGGCATCAGCCCCATCTCCTGGCTCCTCATCGGCGAGCTCTTCCCCCTCGAGTACCGCGGCCTCGGCAGCGCCCTCGCCACCTCCTTCAGCTACGCCTGCGCCTTCATCGGCGTCAAGACCTACGTCGACTTCACGCAGACGCTCGGGCTCCACGGGGCCTTCTGGCTCTACGCCGCCTTCTCGCTGGCCGGTCTCTGCTTCATCGTCTGCTTCGTCCCCGAGACCAAGGGCAGGGACCTCGACGAGCTCGACAGTAGGTACATTTGATCCCGGCCCAAATCCTACCCTTGTAAATAATCATTCGCTCGAGTCCCGGGCTGCCTTTTCCGGATCGTCGAGGCTTCCGCGGGCCCACGTCGGGCAGTCCCCGAGTAGCAGCACTGGAAAGAAAAAACACGTTGGATCTAGAATCCAAACTCTTGAAAACATTGACAAGAAAAAGAACTCTTGACTCGATCACATTTAAGTTTAAATCAAAAGGAAGTCCGCTCAAATTAAGAGGCTCGGTTCTTGATTTAAGCTTGAATCTGATCGAATCCAGAGTATTTTTTCTTGTCGATGTTTTTAAGAGTCTGGACTCTAGATACAATGTGTTTTTTTCCAGTAAGTGATCGCGATAAATTGCATTTTATCGGTCGGTTATCGCGATTGTATCGGTATCGATTATCGCAATATTTGCGAAGTAAGAATTGCGATTTATGGCGATTAAATCGCTGTCCATCGCAATTGTTGGTTCGATAGAATCGCGATCAATTTTCTAAGTCAAAATTGAAATTAAATCGCCAAACATTGCAATTTTTGTTTCGATGATATCGCGATAAATTGCCGGGCGATAAATTTGCAAGTCTATTGTGATAAGCTAGCGGATAATAGCTCAGATGTTGATGGTTCTAGCGATTTTATCACCGATAAAATCGCAATAAATCGTGATTTTTACGTTGAAAAATGCTACTTGGGTCTGAAGCCATTAGCGGATCCCGCAAATTGGCAACTTTGTCTTTTCTTCATGTAAACCTATGGAAATGTATCTATACTCGAAGGGGCCAGGTGCTCCGACAAGAATCGATTATTTAGCATAGGTTCATATGGAGGAACTCCGGTGTTGCTACATTTCTGAATCCACCTCTGTCTGGAGCGAGCTAATGAAAGAGGTCGAACGTGCGGAGGCGTGAAACTGTTACAATGGGCCTTTAGACGAAGTGCAAAATTAGGAATGTCGTTACTTCTACATGTCATGTAGAACGCGTTTTGCGCAACGGAGATTGGATGTATTTCTATACGTCTAACAATAAAATCTGCTTAAGCCTGCTTCTGCAGACGTGATATCTTTTTCACAAGGTCTCCGGTGATAAAAAATTAATGATCGAGACATGAAGATAAAAAGATATTTGTGTTGACCGTTAACGTTTAACGTTTAAAGTGCATCATTGTGACAAGCTAGGCCTCGGCGATTCTTGACAAGAAGCTGGAAGCATTCGATCCTTTTTTATTTTTTTATGATCCCTGTTTGTAAAGAGAGTTTCAAGACAATAATGACTAAATAAGAGAAAAATACTAATTATTGTTACTATTATTTATTAATTTATTTTATTTTTATTTCTCGATCTATATCATTCAAACTATTGATCCTTTTCAAAGCTTTGTTTTTATGATATTTAAGCTGTGATATTCATAGAAATAACGAATTTTAAGCGTAAGTTAAGGATTGATGACGCAGAATCGTCTGATTTGGGTGAAATCATTTTAACCGATGTACTTCCATACACGACAATAATATTTTTCAGGAGTTTAGGATTCAAACTTTTGAGTACCTTGTTGTACAATACACTGCACTTTTTGAAATGAGAGCACTAATTTTTTTTCTCTTTTATACATTTAGCAAGTTTTAACCATCCAGATAACCAGAGATGTATTAAATTGCCTGTATGTAGAGTTAACGACGGAAGGAAAGCATAAAGGACAAACAAAAATAAAAAAATAAATACATGAGATCTGAAAAAATACAGGTGGCAGAAAAAAATGCTGTTGAACGAAGTGTAAGGACGAAAAAATACTTCTCAAAAGGTAATGTAATTAACAAAAAATTGGGCGAAACAGCGGCAAAATATGACCCGAAACGGATTTTTATGTCCACGCGAACAGTGACGTAGCCAAGGGGAGTCACAACATCATTTTTCGTGATTTATAATGCACCATTGGTTCACTTTATGCATGAAAAATTGTTGACCATAGAACCTCCCCTTCCCGCCATGAGAGATTTCTGGCTACGCACTGTTTTTGAATTATGGGTGGGCAAATATACAGCATATCTTAAAACTTCCCTTCTTTGATTAGAATTGATTAAAATTCTGATTAGAATTTCTTATGTAGAATTTTACTTTAATTTCCGCGTTCACCAGAAATTTACGTGCATCGCAGAGCCTGAAATCATAATTTTGGTGTTGCATTGTCTAAAAACACCTTTTTTGCAGTATTTTAGTACTGAAAGTCGCGCAACAACATTCAAGGAAATCATATATTTGTTATTTCCCACGTGAATTCAATTTCTTTTTCATAAAAATTCTTGTAGGGGCTTTTGGTGCGTCTATTTTAGCCGACTACGACTATCTATGTCGTACTTCCTACGAAAAAAGAACTATTAAAGGTCATAAAACATGGTTTAGATGACTCTAAGATAGCAGGGTAATCTTTACGAGTACGAAAATGCTACGGCATGGAGCACAAAAAAAATTGAAACTTATTTTCGCAGTAAAATCTCAGGTCCCTCGATCGATACACTTTCTTACTAAAGGACTGGATTCGATAGATACAGGAGAAGTTCCTCTTTTTATACACCTGAATGGATAAATTATGCATCCCAGATGCCTTATCCTGATGTAAATTTTTACATTTTTATGTATGAAATTAATGAGCATGACATATACCTGATTGTTCAGCACCCTTTTTTATGTATAGCGCTGATTTCATGCATTTCATCCCTATTGAGAATCAAGAATAGCATTGAAGATATTCTCAATATTTTGACAGCCTACTTAACAGTCGTTTGATGGTCTGTGGTACTAGGTGATAATTTCTCCTTGTATCTCTTGTGAGAGAGCTACATAATGGTACTCGTGTAACTTAAGGGAAATGCACTTCTTTTAATAAGAAAAAAAACCAATCAAATTATTTCATATCAATACAGAAAAAAGAATAAGAAAAACATCAAACTAATTTGTCGGCGCTCGAGTATCAAAAGATTGTGGAATGAATCTTGAACCCTACAATTTTTATTTTTTTAAAAAAACGGCGACGTAAGTAATGAATAAAACAGTATCCTCTTTGTTCTGGATAAGCAGTGCGAATTTTATACGAGTATTTCACATAATTCTAATGTATGTATTTCACATAATTCTTAGAACGGGCAATTTCATAACGGTGCCTTTTGAGCAGCAAATAAAAATTGAAGAAAGTACAATTCATGCTCTCTCTTATGATTTTGGAACAGAAATATCTGGATGTTTACTTCGAAGATGAAAACCCTTGGCTTTTAAAGTTAGTTAGAGATAAAGGTAAAAACAAAAGATTGAAAGTTAGAGAATGTCATGGATGAAGTTAATCACTAAATCGCTAGAATAAGGTTGAATGGAGGTCACACGGACAAAAAAATCAATTGAGGCGTACTTGCGCGCGAATCATTCCTAATTATGAGAACCCTGGAGACCATTTCAATTTTCAGCCACCTTAAGATACGCGCACATTCGATCAATTATACATTACGGATAGAACTCGGAAAGTGAAAAACACCGAAAAATTTCTGCCCTTACCGACTTCCCTCTAAAAAATTAATCATGAACGCGAACGGTAGAAACCCTTTAAGGAGTATCATCATATCAAGCCAAAAACCGAGTTGGCAACACTATAATCCTCCATTTAAAAAATTCATTGAACATATCGATTCTCAGTCTCATAGACTGTTTTACGTACATTTAAATGGAGAAGAAACAGTGTTGTCAAACTTCCGAGAGAGGTCGCGAGGCGCTGCTACTCGAAGGCGGATTCGACCATATTTTGCGATAAGGAACCAGTATTTCTGGCTCAATTTAGAAACAACATATATGCCATAGGTTTGCGTACGCAGAAAGGTGCTTTTACATCAGAACCAGACGTAATAGTTCCTTATTGCAAAATTTACACCGATGAACCACTAGACAAGGTACGAATTTTAGCATTCTGATACATGTTTCTTAATCAAAATTTCACGTAGAACACGATGCGCACAACGAAAATTACGGAAATAAACTCCTTAAGAAGATATTTAATGATTCTTAGTGCGTGAATTCAAACCACCCGCTCATGAAAACTCAATGCTCTACGTGAATCACATCGCGCGCTAAACGTTATCATGACAGTCTCTGCGATGTAAAAATCTGGCGACTTCAATCTTGAAGTTTTGGCTCAGCTACAGCGAATTGCTTATATTTGAACGACACATGGTGGGAAATGAACATTGCTCGATTGAGAAGCTTGCTGAAGCCGTTGTAGTGCGCGATTTGACTCACGCAGAGCTTTGAGTTTCTTGTGAGCGGCCAGTTCAAATTCCTCGTAACCAATGTGAAATAAAAACGTTATTATCTTCGTTAGGAGTTGGTTTCAGTAATCTTCGCGTTGCGGGAATCGTGTTCTACGTGAAATTTTGGTTAAAAAACAAGTATCAGAATGCTAAAATTCGTACCTTGTCTAGTGGTCCATTGGTCCAAGAAATTGCTCAAAAAGGACTACTCGGTGTATTTCAAATGACACAGGCAAAGCTAGGGGCTAGATTTAGAATGGACCACTAGACAAGGTACGAATTTAAGCATTCTAATACATGTTTCTTGACGAGGATTTCACGAAGAACACGATTCGCGCAACGAAAATTACTAAAACCAACTCCTAAAGGAGATATTAACGTTTTTATTTCACATTGGTTACGAGGAATTTGAACTGCCCGCTCACAAGAAACTCAAAGCTCTACATGAGTCAAATCCTGCACTACAACGGTTTCAGCAAGCTTCTCAATCGAGCAATGTACATTTCCCACCAGGTGTTTTTCAAACTATAAGTAATTTGCTATAGCTGAGCCAAAGCGTCAAGATTGAGGTTGCCAGATTTTTTTTTTATCGCAGAGACGTTCATAATAACGTTTAGCGCGCGATGTGAATCACGTGGAGCATTGAGTTTTCATGAGCGGGTGGTTTCAATTCACGCATCAACAATCATTAAATATCTTCGGAAGGAGTTGATTTCGGTGATTTTCGTTGTGCGCGTCGTGTTTTACGTGAAATTTTGGTAAAAAAACATGTATCAGAATGCTGAAATTCGTACCTTGTCTAGTGGTCCATTGGCATTACAAAATGAGTGATGCATAGAATTTACTTCATTATTCCTTGGGGGGAAAAACTGATGATACATTTGTTACAAGATCAAAATCACTTAACTTGTATTTAAGATGTATTCGGAT